GGGCACGCCGCCCCCGCCCCCGCCGCCGCCGCCCCCGCCGCCGCCCGCGCTGCCCGACGCCGCCGCCGCGCACTGCCGCACGCTCGGTGAGTACTTCCTCCCTGACGCTGCGGAGAGACGGTTATGGAACTGCTGCGCGAAAAAATGGCGAGTTTTGGGCAGAAAAAACTCTTATCACAGGGCCCTGGCAACAAAAAACTTTGGTGAGACGTGGTACAGCAAGAATCCATAATCTGGGAATCCTTGGTACCGAAAAATCGACAAAACGGCAAAATGTATGTCCTTATGTGAACAACGCTAGGGTTAAACCGTTAAGCCGCTTTTTTTTTTTTTTTTCATTTTATTCCCCAATCTATCTGGCTGATGTTGCGACCCCTGGTATTTCAAACTGATATTTTCATTTTGGAGGCGCACTTTACGTGTAGACCCAAGAACATTTTCAATATTTTTGAAAAAATGGCTCCATCGTTTTTTAATAAATTTGGTCTTTGGATAGTGTGAAGTGTGAATGGTAGAGGTTTCATTTTCGTTAAAAACTCTTATTTTTAGAAAGTTCGTAATATTTTCTGCGTCTTCCTTCAACTCCAATTATAAAGATAGAATTTTCTCCTTAATGAATTATATACATTAAAGATATATGTTTAAATAACGTCATGTAGAATGGAGCACTTTTCGCGTAATTTGCGTCAAAGTACGGGCGAGAAAGGACGTGTTGTTTTAGCTCCATTAATTTCCTCATTTCCCCTCACCACTATCCAACCACTATCGCTGGTGACGCAGCAATTTATAAGTGTAATGCGTTAAAACGAACTTAATAGTATGAACACTAAACGTAGACATCAATGTATCCAACATCCACATCTTATCTAAATTCCCGATAGAGTGACTCGATACTGCCTTGGCCTGGTTGATTGCAAAGCAGCATCACAGGACCAATGAAGAGTTTGGACTCCGCCCGTAAGCGAGCGAACACCACTCCGCCGACATCTTTACAACCTGTGCTTTCTTCTTTTTAGGGGTTTTCTGATTATATACAGGTACTTTTTTAAAAATAGTTGGAGTTCTTTGTATTGTTCTTTTGTCTTCTTTTTCCCATTCTCACACACATTCCCACTTATATTTACATACACTTCATTCATTCATTCTTTTACACAAACACTGCACAACACTATTTACACTATGTACACTTTTTGTTTCGTTTCGCCACGGCGACGACTGTACTCAAGCGTCCGTGGCGCCGCGACGTCTTCTGGTGCTTCATTTCATTACTCGTATGTGTATGCCCCGCAGGCGCCATGCCGGACGGCGTGGAGGCGGCGGCGGCGGCGGTGGGCGCGCTGGCGCTGCTGTCGGCCGAGGAGCTGGCGGTGCGCGCGGGCGCCGCGGGGGGCAAGGGGCTGGACCGCGTGCTGCTGGAGCGCAACCTGGAGCGCCTGCTGTCGGAGCACGGGGGCGGCGTCACCGTCGCCTCCGAGATCCAGGCCGCCTCGCCCGAGCTGGAGCGCCTGCTGCAGGTCAGCGCCCTCTACGCGCGTTAGCGTATGGGACTCTTGTACCCAAGTTGGCGGATTCAAACCCGATCGAAGTCGTGGATTTTTAAGGGCGAAAAAAACCTTTGTACGCCTTCTTTCGGAGGGGAAGTAAAGCCGGCTGTCCCGTGTTAGTATATTTACTGGCAAGTAATAGATCCTCAAGCCTAAATGACGTCTCTGAGCTACATTGAAATCGCCTGTTTCTCGCCGAAGAAATACCTCCTTTCTCTGCTAGTTGGTGAAAGGAGCGTAGCGAAATTTGCGTGGTCAGACGGAAGAGCAGGCCTCATGGCCTGAATCACGCCACGTAAAATAAGGCATTCAATTCAATTCTCTCCCGACCCTTCTCACAATTCTCAGAATATGTGGCTCAGGGCATCACATGGTGTTCCTGAAGTATCTTTGACTGGGAGGTCCTAGGGCATCACTCCCCACGGTGGCAGCATTTTCAACACGTAACTTCACAAACACCACAGCAAGGGAGTCTCTTCTGTCCATCCTTCACAAACTTTAAAGCCCTTTCACAATGCAAACGTAAGCATAACGCACAGACGTAATCACTAACATAAGTGGCAGACTGAACTATTCACAATGTCTGACATAAACATAAGCAAAATAAGAGTTTCTATTGGCTTTGAGACATTCTAGTTTACTATTGTTTCCATGTAAGAATAGATTTCGATATATCGACTGTGTCCATGACCCATGAGTTCAATTTAAAGTAGTGCCTACGCAGCAATCACGAAACCAAACCACAGTCTTTTGCAGAGTTGTAAACAGCAGATATGCAGTGCTATACAAGCTATAACGTATCGGTAAAAAATGAAATGTATTCGGAAACATCTTTTATACTCGGAACTAAGTGGCTTTTTGTATTATTTGACACATTTTGCACAATGCGTCTGATTGTTTGATCTCAGATGTTACGCCGATTAAAGAGGGAATAGTGACACTTGCCTATCCAGTACGGATTGTGTTGGCCAGGGGTGTACAACTTGCAAGATCTCAAGGCCCGCAACAAAAGCATTTAATACGGATGTGGGCCATATTTTTCTCTGTCGGGCGACCCACATCTGACTTTCCGTTCTTGATCTCGGCAGATGGGCCGGCTGCTCTGAAAACGGGGGTAGGAATGGAACCATGCGTGATATCAGGCCAAAGCGCGCATGACGCAGTGAAACACACGGGATGATTTTGAATTTCAGAGTTTTCCAAAAATCAATTCCTTAAACCTAGACTTAGTGCGCCTTCCCACGCCGCCACGGCAGCGCGCGTTCGTCAATCAGCAGGGCTCTTCGCCGACCCTTCGGCGACGAGCAGAAGGGACCGCAGCAGGTAGAACGCCGTGACCGGCGGCCGCAGTGGGAAGGCTCCCATTTAAAGCTGTGTTCTGCTAGCGGTGGAGCGTCCCCCCTCCTCCGTTTCGCGTAGCGCGTGTCTTGACGGAAGCGCGCTGCCGTCGCGTCGTGGGAAGGCGCCCTTAACCTATTTTTACATTAAATGGGAGTTGGTTTGAACAGGGCGCGTGGGCAACAAGTGACTTTCCCATTTGTCTAATGCCCTTCGGCGGGCGTGGCGTTGCGCAGGCGCGGGACCGCAGC